ATAGTTTCTCTGATCCCTGACAGAAAAAAACAAAAACAAAATGAAATTTACTGAGTAAATCCTTTGATTATCGCAAGGGACAGTATGGATCAAATAGTGCATGGGGAGGATTGTTCCACAGTTGGAGAAAGTTTGGGTATGTGACCAAAAAATAGGTGCTCGGGTTGGGTGTTAGATCACCTGTCGCTGCAAGGAGCTCACCAAGGGCAGTCCTGCACCCAAAGTATTACAGGAATCTAATCTGAAATCAAAGTGTATATAATAAAAGTTAACATTGCACAGGAAAGGACACAGCTGGTGTACTAATTTAAACTGATAACTGGCACTTTTGGTCACAACTGGCACTTTAATTGGAGGAGGCAAGGCTGAATTCAGTACAGACCTCATATAGAGGAGAAAAATGTTTAATTAATACACAACACTAATGTTTATCGAAGAGTGAACTCTCTGGGGGTGCACGTGTGTACTCAGGCAGCTGCCTAGATAACTGTGCGTGCGTTGCAGCAGCACAGGTTGTGCCCCCGTCATGGCAGAGTAGGGGCTGGTTTCCTTGCCTCCAGAGTGCCGCCTGGCTTGACCAGGGACCTTGGCAGAAACTGAATGGGAGACCCCACCAACACTTGCCCTAAAGCACCATGTCACAGACTCTCAGGAGTTGCTGCCCCAGTAAAGAGAGGGAAATTCCTGGCCCTCCTGCTTTCTTAGCAGATTCCCAGCGCGATGGAGGGCAGAGTCCAATGGACAGATTGCCTTTCTGATTGGCCTTCAAGCTATCTGTGTGGCCCAGCCCCCGATCATTTATTTATTTTTCATTCTTCCTTTTCCTTTTCCTCGCCATAATCATAGGTTGTTCTTCACGCCACCAAGAGGATGTTCCTGATATGGCTGGGACTCGTGCCAATGATGTTTTTTTGTGTCAGCACAGCCCGTGCAGGTAAGATTTCAGCCAGATCACTTTCTCTTGCAGGACACCACCAGACTTGGACTAGCAATACAGTATTTTAACCAAACTGCTTGGATAAAAGGCACCTTGGATGGAGAAGGGCAGAGGCAGTAGGGTTGGGGGGAGGGAGACTGCAGATGAGTCCCATGCTCTGATAAGGCTCTAGCCACGGTTCCACATGCATATTGGGGAAATGGAAGCACGTCATTTTCTTTTTCATCATCATCATCATCTATCTGCTATAGCCGGCAATGATCTTGACCCCAGTATTCTAGGCAATTGGCTGATTCACCCTGCAAAGGTCCCACTGCCCTTCTATTGGTCAGCTTTTCTCTATCTTGCACCCTCAAGATATGGTGAATCTGATGTCTAAAAAACTATGCTGACTGGAGAAAAGAGGTTTGTAATCAGACACATCTTAGAGCACTGGGTTGGGGAAGCCTGGCCTAGGCTGCCTTTAGGTCTTGCCCTCTGGATTCAGGGCAATGTTCCTATCCCACCCCATGGCCCATCTTAGTGCAGAAGTGCAGAAGGCCTGCTGGGAAAGAGCAAAGGGTGGGGCTGTGCTCTGTAGCGGGGGACATTTGGGGAGTTTACTACTGTGTGATCAGCTCCTCCCTTTCCACTGATTTAATTCCAAGTGGTTGAATGGAATAATGAACCTGATACCAATTGTGTCCACATGTGTCCAATTTTTTACATGGAAAAAAGGAACTATAGCTCCAGGAAGTTGATCCATTAGATGAGTTCGCATAAGACAATGAACCGTAAACTAAAACTCACAGGCTGCATTTGCGGAACATGCTAAGCTAAAATATGGCTGTTTGGTTTTTTGTTACCATTAGTATTAGTTAGATTTGTATCCTGCCTTTTTCCCAGGAGCTCTTATGTTGTGTGTGTGGGGGGGGGGGATCTCCATTTTATTGCTCATAACAATAATCCTATGAAGTAGGTTGGACATGACTGGCCCAAAGTCACCCAGTCAGTTTCCATGGCTGATAAAATTCTACTTGGATGACAGACATGTACTTCTTAACCACTGCGCCATATTATCTTTCATAGCCACACACTGGTTCAAGCATATTGTGGGAGCACAGCCAGTATCAAGAAACACATTACTTCAAAAAAAAAAAAAATGTATCTTCTATGACTGGGGTACTTGACTTGGTCCAAAGAGTAAGTCCTATCCATGATTGGGCCCCCAAAAACATAATTCATAGTTTGATTTAAATAGGTTTTGGTGCAAATTCTACTTAGTTCAATGAGACTTCCTCCTTCCCCTTTAATAATACCTAATTGAACCACAGAGGTTTTAAGCAAAGTAATGTGGTTCAATTTGAATCACAGCAATAGTCATCCAATCTGTAAGCAGGTAAAATTATCCTCTTTGTGTTTTGTCATTCGAGAATAGGTGCTACTCTTGTTTTTAAAAAGCACATTATTCTCTTTCACAAAAAAACTTGCATATGGCTTCCTGTGCATTGAATATGTTTGGGTTGTAGGAGCTGAAGTTCAATTTACTGATTAATTTTACCAAAGAAAGGTACAACAAAGAAATTACAGTCTGCGGAGGAGAAATGTTAATGGCAGAAATGTTCATTGCCAAGAACTTGCTGTTCTGTTATTTTATTAAAACTGTGTGGTGGGATGGGAATTAAACTTGGTTGCTGCCTGGGCATTAACTTTGTCTTTCTGAGAAGTATTTCATCAGGAAATGCTGCTAGCTGTAATACATACACAAAAATGGTCATTTCACAAGAGAATAATGCACTTCTTTCTGTTCCACAGTCCACCATGTCTTCAGCCTTAGCTTCATTATGGCATTACAAAACACCTGAATCCATTCCAAATTACACCTCCCTCTATGTTATTTGCCAGAGATTCCAGCTATTTGCGCAGATACAATTTCATTCAGAATGCTTGATCCAAGAGTTCATAACCCATGTGAATCTGTGACCATTCTTTGGCTGACCCATCCCACTCACTGCTTGCTACTCTAATTGTGATATCTCAATCCTACTGTTTTCAGGTGACTTGATATTCCATATGGACATTGTGACTGAAATTCTGAACGATGTGGAATTCCACTTGAAAGAGACCCCAGACCTAACTGTAGTAGAGCTGTACCAGGAACTGGAGTTTTGTAAGAGTAAATTTTGCCAGATTGTTCTTGGTCCAGTGACTTCCAAGACCTCGGATTTGCCTTACCTAAGTGAGCCAAAGAGAGCATTCTTCAAAAGTCTGGTGAATCATACAGCTGATGGCTCCCTAGTGGAACATGGAGTAGTCTTAACTCCTGATGGAACCACAGTTTCATTTAGTCCTTTACTAGCTGGAATTGCAGCTGGATTCAAAAAGAGATATGAGTTGACTCTGCCTGACACACCTTTGACCGCTGGTCCTCCAAACAGTTCTGGAGAAGAATCACACCTTTCTTTGGATCCCATCGTTTCTACCACAATTGCAATGGACCTTGGAATGGCCTTTCTCCTTTTTCACTCTAAGCAGACCCAGGTAGCCCTGGGACCAAATGGCTGCTGGGATAATATCTCTGCACCCCATACATTTACCTTAATGGGTCCTCCCTCATATATCCCTGATGCTGTTATCAATGGTGCAATGGATGGTCTTATTCTGGGCACTTACTTGGCAGAAAAGATTGATCCACCATCCAATATCAGTGTTCTGCTGAATGACTATTATGGCTTTAAAGGCCTGGATGGGGAAGAAAAGATTCGGAGCAACTTCCGCAGAAAAATTTTTGCAGCACTGCTGAGCAAAGAAAAGCTACAGGAGCAGGTAGAGAATGCCCTGCACCTGCTCTGGAGGATGAATGAAGCCAGCTCCCTCTTTGAAGGAATCACGGACAAGGAACTGACATTTCTGGCAAAACAGGCTGTTGATGAGTTCATGATGTTGTATGTAGGTATGTCACACGTTGGTCAGAAAAATAGACATCCTGATGGGATCATTTGGCTTACTGCTGTTGACTAATCCTCTAAGTTGCTGAGGATTGCTGGTAATTAGTTCAAGTGAGGTCATTTACTATATATACAGGTATTTGCAACACTTACATACTGGCCTCTTCTTATAGCCCATTCTAAGCAAACATCTCAGGACAAGTGAAGTGCCTGCAGTGTCCGCAGGTAGTTAAATGAAGCCTCTTCTCAGGCCCTTGAACCATCCATGTAGAAATGTGGGAATTAATAAAAGGACACTGGCCTTCAGCCCGCCACCTGCCCCAATATGCTTTCTAGGCCCATCACAATGCTCTGCTATCTCATTCTTATTCCCTGACACAGTGACTCAGACTAGCACATTGTGTCTCACTGAGGGTAAGGTACACAAACAATCACTTTGGGGGCTTGAGGTTGGCTAATTGACAGAAGATGCTCAGGAATGTCTTCACCCTATTGCAGGCAGAATGCCAATGGAAGCTCATAAGCAGGACATGAGAGCAAGCATGCCTCCTCCTATGCACATCTGTGCCATTGAGAGATTCTTTGCTCCTGATACTGTTTGTACGACTTAGCTATAAGGAACAGGTGCCACTGATGACTTACGTTCCCTGGATTTGTCCACTCCCACTTTAGAGCTGTTAGGTTTAGAAGCCATAGCTACATTCTGGGGTAATGATGTCCATAGTATGACTATGTGCTGTGTGAAAAAGTACTGTCCATGGTTCAGCATAATTTGGGGCTCAACCTCCCACATTCTCGCATATATAGTAGTTGGAAGTCCCCTGTCATATCTAATTTTATAAACATCTACAATTTCTTGCTCATCTCTGGACTCCTGCTACCACTTTGCCATAATATATTGGATGATTTGATGCTACGCACTGCGTATCAGCAATGCCCTGGCACTAAAACTGCTCTCTAGTATGCTGAGATGCTTCCTGTTCTTCTCTTCAGCTCTGATGTTTTTCTCCCCTCTACCCTACAGAATGTCCTGCCATAATCCCACGGTGCATGTGGGGGGCCCGACCTTATAAAGGAACACCAACGCAGCTTAAGCTGCCTTTGGGATTTGTCTACATCCACCATACCAGCACCCCTTCTGAGCCGTGCCGAACCTTCTCCTCGTGTGCAGCTGACATGCGGAGCATGCAGCGATTCCACCAAGATGACCGTGGTTGGGATGACATTGGCTACAGGTAGGAGTGTCTTTATGCAATATACATTTCCAGTTGAGTAAACTAGCAAGCTGGATATTTTAATAGCATTTTTATCAAATCATATTGTAGAACGTATTTTGATACATTTAAACTATTGAAAGCTGCTTCACAACATTTACAGTAGGGCAAAATGTAGTGAAGAGCTAAGTTCTAATTAACTGAGAGGTATAAAGAGAATTGAGAGCCAGTTTAATGTAGTGAAGGCATGAGGCTAGAAACCTTGAATTCTAGTCCCGCCTTAGGCATGAAGACAGCCAGCTGGGTGACCTTGGGCCAGTCCCTCTCTCTCAGCCCTGGGAAGCAAATAATGGCAGACCACTTCCAAAAAATCTTGCCAGGAGAACTGCAGAGACTTGTCCAGGCATTTGTAAAGAAAAATTAGCATTGTAAGGGAAGTTTAGGCTAAAACACTTCTCCTGACCTCTTGTTTTCTTTAGTCTAAAGTACTAAATCAAAGCAGAGCTTTATGACCTATAAAGCTGTGCTGGTAGGAATAACATAGCAGATCTGAAAATGGGGAGCAAACACCCAGTTCCCTTCAGAAAATCCCCAAGGAAGGTGATTTTTCTGCTGCTCTGGCAGTGAACACCTCCTCGCCAGCAATCAACACCCAGCTAAACAGGGATTAACACCAGACAAACAATCAAGCAGTAAACAATACTCTAATCAAGGAACTACCAACTCAGACAAACAACAACCTAACCTAGGAGCTACCAAGAAAAAACAACACCCCCTCCAACACTGACAGGGCCAGCTAATGTACATATATAAACAGAGAGCAAATTCCACTCCCTTCTAGTACTGAAGATGTTACCTAGCCGGGTAATGAAACGTTTGCAAGAAAACAACCAAGCTCAGAGAGCCCCAAGGACTGTATAGTTCAACCTGAGTTACATATATTCTCTTCTATTGGCGATTTTACAGCTTCTTCCAAGGCTGAATTGACTTAATAAAGTTATCCTTGTGGTTTAATGCTTCTGTTGCTTCTTTTCTGGTTGAAGGAGAAGAGGGAAAAATTACATACAGCAGGTCTTAAAATGGGTCTTGTATTCCATTCATTATGTGTTTGGTTCTCTATTACAACTTTTCCAATTTATCAAAATCATTTGAGTACTATAATGCTCACAACTGGACTCAGGACAGCACTGAACAGGGAGAAGTTAAGGGGAACTGCTCTTGTTCCCCAAAGACTCCTTTTGCACTGTATTCCCCCATGTTCCAAAATTTGGAAGTAGACACCTCTTTCTCAATAACATCTCCAAATCTTTGTTGCACGGTGGGAGAAGGTAGGATGGAAGACAGTGGCTGACTTGCCTATTGTGATGAATGTAGTTAGCATCGCATCAGCATGTTCTGTCAGGACCATATGGCTCAGGTCTCTTGCAAAATCTCTGTAGGTGAGTTTTTCATGCCTTCACGATTCCAAATTGCAGTCAACATGACTTCCCCCTCCCCCCAGTCAGGTTAACATGCTATAAATCTATAAATTATAGATTTATACTAGTTTAACTGACCCTGGGAGTGGTTCTAGTTCAGTCTTCCCATAACCCTAACCCCTCCAGAAGTTGTCTTTTATCACCTCCAGCTGTGGGTCAGGCTGATGGGAATGGCTGATCCAAATATTAAATATCATACATTGGGGATCTGTATATTTGAACAACAAACTTTAATAGGCCAAAGGTGAACATAGATCAGCTATCTGCATGTTGTCTTGCATTCCTATATCAATGTTCTGTTTGAAGCTGCAGTCCTATACATTTGTATCACAAGTTCTCATTTTAGGTGCACTAAAATATTATATCCTGTAGATTACTGTCTATTCCTAGGAAAGCTCATTTAAATGGTATTCACTTCCACATCTTTTTGGCTTTGGAAGTACTGTATCTTTTTACCTGTTCAGCAAAGCTGTGCATTCTTCTGCAGTTTTTATTTTTCCTAGAATTTTTTAAAAAGTGTATTTCTTTTTACGTACGAAATGGGAGAAATTCCACGAGCCGTTTCCAATGCAGGATCCCTTCCTGATGCTTTTCTTCTGTTCCTGCACAGCTTTGTTTTCGGTAGTGATGGGTATCTCTACCAAGGCCGAGGCTGGCACTGGGTAGGAGCTCATACCAGGGGCTACAACAGCAAAGGCTATGGCATCAGTTTCATCGGGAACTACATGAACGTCCTCCCAGACGCCTTTCAGCTGGAGCTTATGAAGAACAACTTCATTCAGTGTGCAGTGAAGGGTGCCAGGCTGAAGGCCAACTACACCATCCATGGACACCGACAGATGGTGCCCACCTCATGCCCAGGTGACAGACTTTTCCAGGAGATAGAAACGTGGAAAGGTTTCAAACTGAGATGCTTTGAAGCAGAGGACGGCAATGAGTTTTGCATCTAATGTGCAGTGTGGAACCAAGATACAAGAGGAAAAAAAAAAACTTTTACCTCTGTGTTCTTCTCAGACACCAGGGGGCAACCTTTCATGCTGGCAATGAAGCAACGGCTCCATGCAAATTCCTCAATTAAAGTCCATTATCAGAAATTCATGCACTTGTATTCTTTATTTAAACATTTAGAGTGGGAGCTGTAATATGAACATTCTGGGAAAAGAGTAGTGGGTTCAGCATGGATAAGGCATGGAAGAGACGGAGAAATACCGTCAGAGCAGCAGAAAAACCCAAATCTGGCTTAGAATTAAGCAGCCAGCCCTCTGAGAAGGAGGGTGACTTTTCTGCACTTTTGAACCCCAGTCTACGAGGATTCTCCTGTCAAATACATGAGGAAACAACAGCCCAGAGCCCATAAAAAGGTTAATTTTGAAAAGGTTAAAATAGGAAGAAGAAAAGGCAACAATCATACTGACAGAATTCCAGGTAAAATAAATAAAATAAATTTTTACCTGTTTCATGAGTGGGACCTAGGATTTGAGGGCACATGTGGAGTTCCTCATAGACTGGGTGGCTTGAGAGAGAGACAACGTCTGAATCACATCCTTAGTTCAGGAGAGATCATTTGCTCTTTGCACGCAGATCCCTAGAGTATCCCCAAAGTGCATTGGGAAAACCACTGATTTTTGATGGCACAATTTTTCACATATTTTGTCCAAAACAAGCACGTTAAGCTTTTGCTCAGCTCAGTTTAGATTTTCATTTCCTCTTTCTTTCTTCTGAAAGCACTAGTCTAACAGTTTTAAAGGAGGGTTAGAGGAGACAGCTATTTTACCCATTTTCCCCCCTTCACATTTGCAACACAAGAAAAAGCTAAAATTAAAAAAGAAAAGTGGAAAAGAAAACAACCCAAAATAAAAATCAAGAGCAACTTCTTTTCAAGGAAAATTATGGTTGGAGCTCCATAGCAATACTGCAAATAATCAAGAGTTTCTGTAATAGTGCAAAGCACTCACTGTTAGCATAAACAGGCCCAGCACTGGTATTTTGAGAAACCACAACTAAATCATGCAGAACATTCAACCAGATTTTTGCACCAAACTAAACATAGGTTATTCAGCTCTTTACAGGCAGCTGCCATCACAGACCCACCGTCAATCTTCTTATCTTTCTTTTGTTGGGCTGGGCAAAATGCTTGGCGCTAGAAGTGGGACTAGAAGACTGGTCAGTGAGAGTCCCTGCTCTTTGCGGCTGTCTCTGGCCCCTGAAAACCAGATCAGCACTTACCTAGGGGTGCCGGTTGCTGAGCAGGATTTACTAAACCTTGCGCTCATCGTCAGGTTTATGACAATGACAGAGTGCATCTGAACATGTGCAGAATGCCTTTATTCTATTCATGAATTATCATAGCCACAATCCATGTATTCGGCATTAGAAAGGAAGTTTTCTGACCAGACTCTGTAGTTTATGGACGGATAGGAGCTCTCTATACCTGTCCTGGTATACCTTTAGAGAGACAGAAGAAATGGGGCCGCTTGGTTGAGGTACTCACTTTATTTTACGCATAACCATCATGTATTTTACCTCAGCTAACATAGTGACACCTAACCTACTATATTAGCTAACATAATGTTCTTATTATTATTAGATTTTTATCCTGCCTTTTTTATATATAACTCAAGGTGGCGAACATACTTAATATTTCTGCCTCCTATTTTTCCCCACAACAACCCTGTGAGGTAGGCTGGGCTGAGAGAGAGTGACTGGCCCAAAGTCACCCAGCTGGCTTTCATGCCTAAGGCAGGCCTAGTCTCCTGGTTTCTAGGCCAGCACCTTAACCACTACACAAATCTGGCTCTTAAATTTTATATACACGCACACACACACACATAAAATATGTATACAATATATATACAATAGTACAGCATAATATATTATAATTATTTTATAATTATATAATTATAAATAACAATATATTATAATATTATAATAAATATGATACATATATACATATGATAAATATAATTTTAAGCACATTAGGTGTGTAACATTATTTAATATTTATTTAATTGAATTAAACATTAAATAATGTTACGCTCCTACTATGATTTTTGTGTGGCCTCAGGTTCTGAATTGCACAAAAGTCGTTTCAGAACTACGTGTTTCTTCTTGGAACTGTGTATAATGGGTTTAAATCCAGGCAGGTGCTCTTAACTCTGCCAACTATTCCATCTTTTCTTTTCAAAGAGATTTCTTTTTTTTTCTGGTAGGAAAAAGGCAGTGGGAGATGATGAGAGAGTTATAAACTGGAGCGGAGTGTCCCAGGCACTCCCTCATAGAGTCTGACCCAGAGAAGTGGGATTGGGAACCCATGAAAAAAAATCCTCTGGAAATACAGCGTCGATCTTACTGCACACTTAAAAAGTTCTTCTTCAGCTCAGCTTTTGAGGGGCTCCAGTAAATCTCATAACATTTCTTAACAGTCGTTACACAGGATACAGTAATCTCTGATAAATATATGGTGCAGCTAATATTACTCTTTGAACTTAAAGAAGGAGGGAGGGCACTTTAGGGCAAAAGAGGACAATTCCCAGGCTACAGGACACGTGCAGCTCTTGAAGCCCTCTTAATTTTTTTAGTCTGCCAGAGATTTTTCCCTCACCACCAATTAATTCATCACCATTAACCAGTCTCCACCATTATATCTGTCTGAATTGTGCTGGGTAAGAAGCCACGAAGGGATTAAATCTCCTTCATATCGAACTCCTTGTGACTTATGGACAGGTCCACACTGTTTCCTTGACAACAACATGCAAATGATTTGCCACCGCTTTCTTCCAGGAATTTTTTTTTTTTACTTCCCATCTATCTTACAGTCCTGGAATCTCCTTGTGGTCTCCCATCCAACCACTAAACAGATCTGATGAGCTTTTTCAAGATCAGCCAAGACTGAACTGCTAGTGCCACCTAGCAGAATCACAGGGTTATATGCACTTTGTCAGGATCCCTGAACAGGCGCATGGTAATAAACTCTCCCCTGTCCCCAGAGTGATCCGGTTTAAGGCTCTATTTCCTGAGCAGCCGTGGATGCGTGTGTGTTTGTGTGTATGAATGAATGTGTTCCTATGAATATAGGTGACTTCAGTTCATTAGTTGCTACACCCCATGTTGCTCTCCAGGCAAAACCTGCCTCCCCTCCCCCCATGTTAGAGCAACCAGCACAACATGACTTATTAACTCTTTGCTTAGAGCGTTTTATTTTAAACTTGTTTCACGTACATGATTCCAGAATTTAAATGGAATTTGATTCTGTTACCAGGATGCTCAGGACCCTTATTTTGGGAATAAGCATGGTGGCTGTTGCTGTTGAAGAAAATTTCAGAGTTTTAAAGTCAAGATAATAAAATCCCCAGTTGGCTGCTTCCTAGCCATAAAATGTACTTTGGAAATAAAAAAAGGATATTATGGTGTTAACAGCAGCCACCTCTGGCAAGGCCTATTTTGCCTTATTGGCATCTCCCGTCGTTCTCTGGGCTTCAGGGTTGTGGGACCTCAGAAGCCTTTCCTAGCAACACCACCAGTGGGGTTACAGACTGAGCCAGACTCAAGAGTTTCTTGCTCTTGATTCCAGGTCATCTTCAACCCCGCTTCTGCTCCCCAATCTCTCAAAAATTCTTTGAAAATGACCTGCCATCACCTTCACTTCTGCCAACTCCAAAATGCTGAGAACAAGAGAGGCCGTTGGTCCCAGAGCAACAAATCTTACACAAAAGAAAGAAAAGAAAGAAGAAAGCTGAGCAGCCTGCCACGTTGCTTCTGGTCCTCTGCAGAAGAGAAGCTTTGGCTTGACTGAATGATGGACAAAGTGATCTGAAGCCGTCAAGCCAATCTTCCCCTTCCATTCTCTGCGGGACAGCTTAAGCTGAAAAGTTGGGAGGAGGGCAAAGTAAGAATTCCCTTTGATGGGGAAATGACCCCCCCCCCCAATTTCTTTCCCATTGAAAACTAGCTTCAGAGGGTTCTTCTTGCAGAATCACTGAGTTGCCAGTAAAGAGGACAGCACGGGGTCACAGCTGTAGAGCTGATCCAGGAGCAGCCCAGACTCTGTGTGGAACAGCATGGCAAGGCTGGACCAACTAATTTTGGCACGGTGGATCCATTCTGACTGGGGCTATTAAGGGAGTTCTCTTAAGAGGATGGATGGGAAACATGTCATCTGCTTTTGGGTGGGAGTGGAGCTCAACTAGGTGAGCAGTCAGGATTAAGAACAACCAAGCAAAGGATGGCTTCAGCCACCCACACGGCACACGGCAGCCTCGGGGTTACTCAGACAGGATGAGGTGAGATGATTATCATGTCACAGAAGATCACATGGGGATTTGCAGAGCTGGGGGAGCAGGAGAAGAAACCAGTCAGTCAGAGAGATGATGAAGGAAGGCTAGGGTGAGGAGGAAGGACAGCAAGAAGCCAAGGTAATGGGGGTGGGGTGGGGGGCCTTTGTGCCATAGTAAGGGGAGGATTCTGGGTCCTGGGAAGAAGCTGAAGGAGCATAAAAGCAGAGTATTTCCATACTCCTTCTGATAACTAGGCAGAAACGTGGTGGTGGTGGCGGCGGCAGCAGCAGAGCTGGGAAGTAAGAGCACGTGGGTACCAGGGAGTGGTGGGGTTGAGCATGGCCCCAAGGGGGTAATCCCTAGCTTCATTTGTGTTATGCCTCCTGCCTCTACCTGTGTTATCAGGGTCTAGGGGCATGTTCACTTTTGCACATAATCTGCTACAGGAGCTGCAAGATACTTTCCATCCCTCTCCATTCAGCAGAGTCCAATGGCTCCCTGATCTATCAAGCAACACAGGATCAGCCTATGAATCCCTGCATAAAGATGCCCTAGATAATTTTGCTTTGCAGACATACTTAAGCCAAATTTCCCTTTCTTTGGTTGAAAGAACCCATCTCAGAGAAAACAGGCTCTCATTCTTTCTCCTTAGCCCTACTAAGTCTGAAGTACTCTGCAGTACCCCCCCACCCCCAAAAAGAAAAGCAATCTGGAGATGTGGAATGAGCTGTTTAGCAGAAAACCATCACCTTAGTAAGAAGAGTAGGACCCACAACCTCTCTCTCCTTGGCATCCCCCACAGCAGAGTCCCTTCTCAACAACTGGCATTTTGCAAGGAGGTTGGGCCATGTGGCTTTGCAGTGCACAAGGGATGTGGTCAGACAGGTTCCGTGGGTTGGGGAAGAGCGGGTTCCTCAAGATGCAAGTGTCGCAATGCTCCGCCCATCATTTTTGGAGTTAGGCCATGGACTCTGCAGGGTTGCCAACAAGGGCAGGGTGAGCTTTCTTGGGATGATCTCAAGCAGGTGGACTCCAAGGGTATCCCACGCTGTGGGTCTGCAAGACTGGCCTGCAAGGTGCAACCGGCAGTTCTGCGGTACAAGTTCTTTCATCACAGGAAGTGTCTGAGTAGGCAAACAGCAATGTAGGAAGCAGTGGGGCTGCCAGTATATTTTTGTTTCCTGCCACAGAAGGCACAAAAGTCTTTTTTGGAACAAGTGAGCAGTACCAACCATGCACCTTGGAGTGAGAAGAGTGGAGTGGCATTGTGCTCATCCTGGAGGGTGACCTGCCCTTAGCAAGGGCTATTCATTGGCAGAACCCGCGCCCCCCACAAGTGCCTGAAGGCAGGGAAGTAGAAAACAAGTGCATCTTTCCATTGTCTAAAGCAGACGAGTACCTCTTTGCTTCTGGCTGCTCAGGTGAGGGATCCAGATCATGTGTCCTTGGAGAAATGGTCAGGTCAGAAGAGACAATTGTGGTTAGAAATCTGAATCCAGTGCTACCTTGACTATGGTATGCTTGGCAAATGAGGCTCTAGTGCTGTTGCTTTTCTGAATTGGTTCTTCTTTCCTTTTTTTTGTTTTTGTTTTTGTTTGACAGATGGCAGCTCAGCCTGGAACAGAGGGCCCATCTTTACTGAGGGCCTACCTATGGCAGACTGTGCCGCCAAATGGGGAGAAGGTGCCAGAACTGGGACCTATTCATGACAGACCGGAAAGCAGCAGGCACAGGGGCAAGATGCAGAAGTGGAAGCGAGCACAAAGCCAGCCTGACAGTGAAGCATCTGAGTCTGGCCATGACCATCTCCCACCGTTGGCCTCCCAAGACAGCAGAGCGGCCACTAAGAGATCTGTCTTCCAGAGGGCTTTCTCTCTGCCAGCCAAGAATGGCAAGGGCCAAGAGAGAAGCAGTAAGCTTAGCGTGAGGAAGTATCTGCGCTCCGTGTCTCATTGGAAGAGCCAAGAGGGTCCCTCCCAAACGGTGAGGGAGACCAAGGATACAAGCAAAGGTAAGGGGAGCTACATTATCCAGTCAACTTTGTCATGGATCCAGTGGGCTTCGCCTTGTTTGGGATTGGAGAGAAGGAGCTGGTGTGGAAGAACGGTTGTGTAGAATTGGGCCAAGGTCTAAGGCCAGATCAACACTTTCTGCTTGCCCCATCACTAGTACCTGCCAGCCGTCATTTCTTGACTGCAGGAAAGGACAACAATGTCCTCTGTTCACTGCCATCCCACTGTAAATGAATTCCCCATCTATGTTTTGAAGCTGAACTTCCAATGTCCTGTTCTCTGTCCTGAGCATTTTAAGCAGTTGGTTTACCATGCTTCATTCCATCCAGTGATATCCCCAGCTCCAGCTGGCCACAGTGCCTGGCATGCCCCCTCTTCTGCAGTGGCTGGTCGCTGCTCTATAGGATTATTTCATCCTGGGCTGCAGGGCGGCCATCTTCTCAGCTGGTCAGAGGCTCCCTTTTTCCCCCTTCCAGTTGATCTAACTATGGCCCATAAAGGATGGAGTCCAGTAAAGCCTCCTGGCTACCATTGTTTTCCCCACCTCTTCTGCCAGCACTCCTTAATTCCACCCTTATATCTCCCAGTGGCCCCCGTTTTCATTTCTGCCCAGGGTGGCTGAAACACACTCTCTTTTCTTTCCTACCCTGTGCCCCCTGTACTGCAATGGTTCCCTTTCCCTTTGTAAGTTAAACTTAAGTTAATTTGCAAGGTAGGCCCATTGGAACAGAGCTGCAAAGTTTTAATGAATGCTACTTCTTTGCTCCTATGCACTCAAACCATCAATTCTTCTTTGCCACAAAATTTCTATGGACCTGCAGTGGAACGAAGGAACAATGTGTTCCATTTGCTTTAATTAATCAAAGTAATGGGGGGGGGGGAGTCTGCATTAGCATCAAGAGAGAGAACATGGGAAGGGGGTATGAAGGTATTCATGTGTGCAAACATCTGGGAAAGCAAAGGAAAAGAACAAGGACTAGTGAGGAGGCTCTGGGAAAGTTGCTTGCTGCCTACACAGAGGCCAGCCACTCAGGCTTATCTTTCCAGCATTGATGTGAAGGGCAAGAAGCAGGGGAAGGATCAACCAGACTTTGTGGTGGCCATAGTCCAGGCTGAACAGCAACCTGGCCCTGGTGCCAAACCACTGCAAACTGGACAGAAATTTGTTGTGCCAGTTTCAGGAACGGCTGGGAGCAGCACAGAGTACAAGCAGCTGCCATCTGGAATTACCCTACATTTGCCCCCAGATACCCTCCAGCCTATCTGGTGCCGCTGCCCCTTTAACATATCAGTAGGGTTTGTTTTGTATTTTTTTAATCCAAAATTCAGCACACTTTTACTATTTCCCTTTTTAAAAAAGTGCTAGCTTTTGAAAACATGCAGGCATGCCTAGTGCAATTTCTGGAGCAGAAAAAAAAAGCCGTGGTGATGGTGGGCTTCTCCACTGTGTTGTAGGCAGAGCCAAAAGCTCATGGTCAAATCTCCTGAATTGGTATGCTTCATTCTTGTCACAGAATTTGGATTGCGTGAGCTAAGGTGGCATAGTCCTGGCCTGTTGAAAACTGAGTTAGTTATTATGCAACAGATTTCAGGACTTTGTCCCTGTATGTGGGCTCTCTTTCACTCTTCATCCCCCACCCAGTCCTTAGGGAATGAGACTCTCCTTTCCAGGAATTGGCCTCTCCTTGTCCATTTTGGGGAATAATAATCCTTGTTTTTTAGCCACATTTTAGAAACTATTGTGCAATAAAACAGCCAATTGTCTTTCAAGCTTCTGTGGAAAAGGAAATGTGGCTACTGACTAAGTAGGTAAAGTTCTCTGGGGGTGGGGAGATACCACACTTGTACTTGGTCTAAACATCCTTCCATTGTATTGCTTTTTGGGTTTTGTGAAAACAGAGTGTAAGGAAATCTCAGTGATATGGCTCAGTTTTGATTTCTGCTCGGACTTTGACAAGAGCCACAATAAAAATGTGTCCTAGTTAAATGACCAGCAGAACAGCTACTTTTCTTTCTTTGTCAGAAGATGCTCTGTGAACCTGTTTGTGGTGCTCTGCCCGCCCTGCTTCCTCAGCAGCAACCCTTTTGTGGAATGTGGTGGCGTGAGAGCTGGGCATGACAACTTGATGTGAATGTGGATCAGGCTCTTTGTATTGTTAAGATGCAGCTAGGTTTGATTGCATTGTGCTTGAGATTACATTGTTGTTCTGTAGGGCTTTCTTTTTAAATCTTGGGGTGCTTATATTCCATTGTAGGTACAAACTGGACAACTCTTGCCAGTGGGAATACTTTTTGGCAGCTATTTCTAAGACAATATTAAGCTTCTTTAAAAACAACAACAACCTCTCCACAAATTATTCCCTAAAAATCTCCCCCATTTCCATTTCCTCCCACAGCCCCAGCCTGCCTTAACCCTCCCTTTGCAACCCATTTAACAGCTGAGCTGAACACTGAAAGTCTTGTTTGCCCTGCTCACCTCCCATCCACAGGCTTTTCTTAATTTGTTTTTTCTTAATAACTTTCTGCAGTCTGATAACAATGGGCACGCTCATTTAACAGACACTTTAACTGGCTCCATTTTGAAAAAGCCATAATCATTTTTGTGTCTTTTTCCAGACATAATAGTTTGGGCTTAGGCTTGAAGCTAATATTCACACATCACAATAAGCCAGAATTCTAAGAATTCAGTATTAATCATGTAGTTGCATGTTGCTTGATTGGTCCAACTAGGTTTCTCCAGGCAGAAATTATCATGGAAACTCTTTCTACATTTGGATTATTGTAACATCTGAACCATCAGCTCTGGCTTCTTGCCCTCTTAAAAAGTCAGGGTCAGAAGCCATGGTTTGTTTTAAGCTCTGATCCCTCCATAACCTGCCAGGGAAACCAATGAAAGGAATTTCTGTGGTTTATTTCATGAATTCTGCCTGAAAAGTGCCAAGTGAGAGTGCTTGGGCAGCATGGACCCCAGCATTCCGCTCATTCATGATCATCGAAAGTCTGGAGAAATGCTTTTCCAGAGGAAGAGGGCAATAACAGAAAAGGCTATGTTTCCACAGACCCTGAGATAACAATCCCTGAGGACCCCTGGAGAAAGCGTATCCTATTTGTTCTCATCCAGTGGGCAGATGTCATTTGGAGAAGGTAGTCTCACAGATGACCAGACCCTAAACTATCAAGGGCTAGATGACAACCAGTATCTTGAATTGCATTTAGCCAGTGCAGCTCCCAAAGCAGCAGCAGCAGCAGCAGCAGCAGCAGCAGCAGCATTATATGACTGCAACAAGGAACACCCATTGCTAGATGAGCTGCTGCATCCTGGACCAGGTATAGTTTCTGAGTGCTCTCCAAGAATAGCCCCATGCAGAGCATACTGCAGTAGTCCAACTGAGGGGTGACTGTAAGCAAGGTCTCTCATTCCAGAAAGGGTCATAATTGATGCCCTCAAATGAAGCTGTGCAAAGGCCCTCCTGGCCAGAGCTCCCACCTGCTCCTCAAACTGGAGTTGTGAGCCCCAAGGACCACCAGATTATGACCAGTTTGGTTTAGGGGAGCACAACCTTGTGAAGAAGTTGGTATCTCTTTGGAATTGTATGGCTTATAAACCCACTCTGTCTTGCTGGATTGAGTCTCTTTGTGTTCCTTTCTATCCAGTTTCCAGGCACCTGGATAGTACTTTGACAATATCACCTGTTTGGCCAGGGGGTGAGATGTAGAGTTGTAGTAATGATACTTAACCTGTGTTGATGGATGACCTTGCCTGGCGAATCCACATAGATGTTGAATAGGAGCAGGGAGAATGTTGATCCTTTTGGCATCTCACAATCAAGGTGCCTAGTACCCTGCTATCACCACCCACTGGGATCACCCCTTTAAGTAAGAGGAACCACTGCAGAAGAGTCCTCCCCATCCCTAAGCCTTGGAGGTGGCCTAGAAGGGTACCATGATTAATGGTATCAAAAGCCGCCGAGACATTATAGAGAGTAAAGAGGATGACCTTGATGGTCAGAGAGAAGATCCGTTTCCAAGGCAGTGAGCAGATAAACACTGCAGAAGGCCTGACAAGGGGAGAGGGCCCCAAAAGCGTCTCAGATAGACACCCCCCAAATTCACATGAAGATAAAAGAAAGAGGAGTTCAGACTTGCAAGATTCTCTTACTGTAGCCAATCTTAATACAGGTGGTCCTTGTTTAGTGACCACAATTGGGACCAGCAACTTGGTCATTAAGGGAAGAGGTCACTAAGTGAAAAATCACATGACAACAGCTGTGCTTATGATTTTACACAGGACAACGTGTACTGACTGTAATGGCGAACATATGACAGAGAGAGACGCTGTGAAAGTTGTAAATGTGGGCATTGGTTGCAAGTTACTTTTTCATCACTGTCATAACTGCAAACAGTTGCTGTCTGAGGCGGTTGCTAAGTAAGGACTACCTGTAAAAGTAGTTTTAGGCACACCTGGCATCTGTTTCTTGGTCTGGTCTGTCTTGTAGGGCTCACAGAGATCAAGCAACACCAGGAGGGCTACATTCCCTATCCTACACATCCACCAGTATGGTCACTGTCATCTCTGCGCCTGGGCCTGAAACTGACTGACATGGGTCCAGATGATTCATTTTCCTCTGTGGTCCTCCACAAGTGCAACCCCATCATTTTCTCAACAACCTTTCCCAAAAATGGAAGGTTGTTGACTATAATTGTCCAAAATTACAGTTGAATTATGGCTTCTTGAGAAGGCCACTTTAATTCTGCCTAAAGTGATGTGTGAATGCAGCCTTAGAGAAGGCTGATTGATATCAATGGAATTTAACTTAGTCAAGGCAAACCTAGAGGCACCTCTGCATGTCCTGCTTGCTCCAGCACAGAAATGTCCCTCTAACACTTTGCTGAAGACATGAATACACAGTGTTATCCACATCTTGACCCTGGCCCACGGTGAAAGTAGCCTTTGCCCATTGCCTCTTGTTCTGCTGCAGATGTGGTGCCTTTTCACTTC